CCTCTGGATGGCATCCCTCCCCTCCAGCACGTCTACCTCACCAAACAGCTTGGTATCATTGGCAAACTTGCTGAGGGTGTGCTCAACCCCACTGTCCATGTTGCCAACAAAGATGTTGAACGGCACGGGTCCCAGTACCGACCCCTGAGGAATGCCACTCGTCACTGGTCTCCACTTGGACATCGAGCAGTTGACCGCAACTCTTTGAGTGCGACCATCCAGACAGTTCTTCATCCACCGAGTGGTCCATCTGTCAAATCCATGTCTCTCCAATTTAGAGACCAGGATATCATGCGGGACAATGTCAAATGCTTTGCACAAGTCCAGGTAGATGACATTGGTTGCCCTTCCCTTGTCCACTGCTGCTGTAACCCCCTTATAGAAGGCCACCAAATTTGTCAGGCATGACTTGCCCTTGGTGAAACCATGCTGGCTGTCACCAGTCACATTCTTATTTTCCATGTGCTTTAGCAGAGTTTCCAGGAGGATCTGCTCCATGATCTTGCCGGGCACGGAGGTGAGACTGACTGGCCTGTAGCTCCCCAGGTCTTCCTTATTTCCCTGTTTGAAAATAGGGGTTATGTTTCCCCTTTTCCAGTTGGCAGGAACCTCACCAGACTGCCACGACTTCTCAAATATGATGGCTAGTGGCTTAGCAACTTCATCTGCCATTTCCCTCAGGACCCATGGATGTACCTCATCAGGTCCCATGGACTTTTGCACCTTCAGATTCCCCAGGTGGTCTCCTACTCTATCTTCACCTACAGTGGGTGGTTCTTCATTTTCTCAGTCCTTGCCTTTGCATTCTGCATCACGGGCAGTGTGGCTGCAGTCCTTTCCAGTGAAAACTGAGGCAAAAAAGTCATTGAGTACCTCAGCTCTGTCTCTGTCCCGGGTAACCAGTTCTTGCGTTTCCTTCCAAGGAGGGACCACATCTTCCCTAGTCTTTCTTTTCTCGCTGACATACTTATAGAAAGATTTTTTGTTTGTCTTAATGTCCCTGGCCAGATTTAGTTCAACCTGGGCTTTAGCTTGCCTAACCTGATCCCTGGCTGCTCAAACGATTTCTCTGTATTCCTCTGCATTGCAGAGGAATTTGCAGTGCAATTCCTAATTGCACTGCTTGAGGTCAGACTCACCTTCCACAGTCAAGTGTCTCAAGCCAGCTGCATCTGTGCCATCAGTAGCAGCTGTGATGAGACCTGAGCTTTGAGGTGCATCTGCTGTACGTCTCCTTCATGTGAGAATGTTAAAAACATGTGAATGAGCTTCCAAACTCTGAATCCAAGACTTACTAGGAACAAACCATAGCAGTGATGTTTTCAGAGGAACCCTCTTGGCATACTTTCACTCATAACTGAGGCTGGTAGGTTGCAAGCCCATGTAGCTTTCTCTAGGATTTTCTGATGGTCATCCTGCTCACAAGACCCTTCTTCTCTCCCCAAGCTCTAGAGGGGAATAGGACATGGTTGGGAAGAGGAACCTCACTTTGCCTTTCTGAGTAATTGCATAGTAGGAAAAATCCCCAGAAACTGGGATGTTGTACATGCAACTTCTTTTCCTGAAATCAAGAAACCCAGGTCTGCAACAGTGCTAAACCCACAATACACATTGCCCGTGGCATCACACAACAAAGGCACATAGGAAATGTAGGGGTTTGTATGCCCTAGGAGAGGAAGGAATAGCAGAGACTGAAGAAAAGCAGGGACTCATGTGGATGAAATTCAGTGATGGAGGGAAGTAAGAATATTGCTTTGCTCTGCTTGAGAAGATAGGCCACGTTGGGTTGCTCTAGAGCCAAAGCCTCCAACAGTGGCATGAGGTGAACTCACAAACCATTCAAAGATGAGCAAGAAAGTATCAGAATTGTGTGTGCATGTGATGAATTTGGTATCTGCTGAAAAGATGGCCCAGTTCACAAGCTCATACTTGGCTACTAGAGGATCCTACTCTGGTCTTGCTGGAGGACATTCCCTGCCAATGTATGGCCA